TCCAACCTAATCCTTAACAAAGCAGACAAAAACATACACTGGGGAAAATAATCCTTATCCAATAACTGGTGCTGGGAAAACTGGATAGCCACATATAAAAGACTGAAACAGGACCCATACCTTTCACTTCTCACAAAAATCAACTCATGCTAGGTAACAGACTTCAACTTTAGGTGTGAAACTATTAGAATTCTAGAGGAAAACATTGGAAATACTCCTCTAGACATTGGCCTATGCAAAGAATTTATGAAGAAGACCCCAAAGGCAATCCACAGCAGCAACAAAGATAAATAAATGGGACTTGATCAAATTAGAAAGCTTCTGCACAGCCAAGAAAACTGTCAAGAGACAAACAGACAACCCACAGAATGGGAGAAAATTTTCTGCAAGGTACACATCCAATAAAGGGCTGATAACTAGAATTTATTTAGAACTCGGGAAAATCAGCAAGGAAAAATCAAACAAACCTATCAAAAAGTGAGCAAAGGACATGAACAGAAATTTTTCAAAAGAAGACAATAATTGCCAACAAACATATGAAAAAATGCTCAACATCTATAATCATCAGGGGAAATGCAATCAAAACCTCAATGAAATACTACTTATCTCCAGTAAGAATGGCCTTTATCAAAAGTCCCCAAACAATCAAATGTTGGCCGTGGATGTGGAGAGACAGGACATTTCCTCACTGCTGGTGGGACTGAAACGAAAAATGTGGTATATGTATACCATAGAGTATTATTCAGCTTTAAGAAACAATGGATATAGCACCTCTTGTATTTTCCTGGATAGAGCTGGAACCCATTCTACTAAGTGAAGTATCTCAAGAATGGAAAAACAACTACCACATGTACTCACCAGCAAATTGGTATTAATGGATCAACACCTAAGCAGACATATAGGAAAACATTTATCAGGTGTCAGGCAGGTGGGAGGGAGAAGGAGAGGATGGGTATATACAAACATAATGAGTGAGACATGCAACATTTGGGGGATGGTCATGCTTGAAGCTCTGACTCAAGGAGGGAGGGGGAGCATAGGCAATATATGTAACCTTAACATCTGTACCCCCATAATATGCTGAAATTAAAAAATAAATAAATAAAATCATACAAAAATTAAAAAAAACCTAATCACCCTGAAAATGCTCTAAAATTAACTGTTATAATCATTGCACAACTCTGAATACACTAAAAACCATTGAACTCTACACTTTAAAAAGGGTAACTGTTATGGCATGCGAATTTTATTTCAATAAAGGTGTTATAAGAAAACTGTTATTTATGAGGCACAAAGATGGAAAAAGGGGCTGAGAACTATTCATCCAGCCTCTCAGTTTCCTGAATACCTAACTTCAGTGATCTTTTTTTAAAAAAAAAAAAAAAGAAAGAAAAGAAAATGTTGGGGTTTGCACATTTTAATGAGGTGATAGCCCTAACACTTTCTCTCTAGTTTAACATTGTCAAAATCTGCTCATTTCTAAATCCAAGTCCAATTTGGCAAAAGAAACTAAGAGCTAGCTTGTCAGTATACCACTATCATGACTTTTTACACTGAACTAATGGTTTATCACATACACAAAAATGAAAAGCTAAAATGTATTATCATCCTGATACAGTAAAACATGAAGAAAAAGTGACCCAAAATTTCCATACTAAAAAAAATGAATGATGGAATAATAACAACATTTTGGATATATATCATCATGCCAGGCAATGATTTAATGGATTAAATCTTCAGAATAGCCTTAGAAAGTAAATTCTGGTATTATGCCTATTTTACAGATGAGAAAAACTGCCAGATCAGAGCACAGAGTGAAGCTGAGCCCGAAGTCTGAGAGGGGTACAGACTGAACTCCGGAGCTGGTGCTCTCAACTGCTAGACGATGAGCACTTAAAAGTGGAACTTTGGGCCGGGCGCGGTGGCTCACACCTGTAATCCTAGCACTCTGGGAGGCCGTGGCGGGCGGATCACTCAAGGTCAAGAGTTCGAAACCAGACTAAGCAAGAGCGAGATCTCCCGTCTCTACTAAAAATAGAAAGAAATTAGCTGGACAACTAAAAATATATAGAAAAAAATTAGCTGGACATGGTGGCGCATGCCTGTAGTCCCAGCTACTTGGGAGGCTGAGGAGGAAGGATTGCTTGAGCCCAGGAGTTTGAGGTTGCTGTGAGCTAGGCTGATGCCATGGCATACTACCCTGGGCAACAGAGTGAGACTCTGTCTCAAAAAAAAAAAAAAGTGTAACTTTGGCAATGTGTTTATCATTTACTATCTGGGAAAAATGCATCTCAGTAGATAGGGAAGCATGGGTGAAATAAGGTGACTTCTGAGAGCTATGTTTCCTGTCCAAAGTGCCCAGATGCCACCTACCTCCAAGACTCGAAAGCGCTGGTAGATGTAATGCACCATGGCTGGGTCCTGGGCACACTGCGGCGGGGGCAGAGAAGCTGCGAGAAACAGAACCAGCAACGCAGAAGCTCGCCAAAGAGCCACCATTTTCCTGCAAACACCAAGGGTTGGAATCTCTTATGCTGTAGAAGAAGATTCAAGGGTCCAGGTGGTGGTCTCCTGCTTTCTATCTGTTGCTGTGGCAAATCCTCCAAAAACAGCGTCTTGCACAGCCAGAGAGCTAAGTCTGCTTGTTATTCCACCCGACGACGCATGATCTCAGTTTGCAAGCTGGTGATCAAGTCCAGCTGTCAGCTAGCTGGTCCCTGGAGGCCTTGTAGGCCAACTTGTGGCAGAGAGTTCCCTGGGTCCAACATCTGTCGCCCTCACCCTTGACACACCGACCCTCCCCAGGTTCGTGGTGGAATGCCGCTGCTTCCAGGCTTCGGTGCGTGTGTATTGGGGTGGAGGTAGAGAGGGCTTCTTCCCAACCCCTTCCCCCATCTGTTTCCTTTTTACTTTTGCTTTCCTCCTCCCTAGTGAATTCTGCTGTCCAATCACACGCCTGACCCAAACCATTCCTAACTTCTCAGGGTCAGAATATCAGTTTAGTTTCTGGCAAAAACTTCTAGGATCTTTTTCCCAGAAGTCCTATTAGGAGACCCCACCCCTCCTCCAGACTTCCTTTGCATTCCTGCAGCTCTTAAAGGCACAGCAGGAAAAATGAACATTAATGTACCGCTATCGCTGAATGGCCAGTACACAGGGCTGCCTTGCCCATTGGGCAGAAAGGTATAATGGGCTACATAGGAGGCTGACCAGGTTCACAGCTGAAAAATCTCAGGATTGAGCTGAGAAGAATTTGGTTAAGAGAAACAAAAATTATTGATATAATGATGCTTCCAGAGCCAAGCCATTAGGAAATAAAACTCCATTGTAGGGAAGTCCTTGAGTTTTCTCAATCACTAGTGGCAGAATTCCATTCATGTAGCTGCAGACCAGAAATGTATAGGACTCAACTCCTGCAGGCCCTGGTCTGGTTGAAGATAAATTGTATACCCAGGGCAAAGTGGTAAAATATCCCAATTTTGCCTTTGTTGTCCAGGCCTCTATTTATCTCAACCTCTCTTTCCATGGGTAGGCCCAGGACTGCTCATCCTTCTTCCTCAATCACCTACCAAAGTGAGGAAGGCTGGGGCATTTCCACTCTTGGATGTGGAAAGAGCTCTCTCCAGGAGTCAGAAGACCTGGGTTTGCATTTGGTCCCTGCAAGAGACACTAATGGACTGAGAATTTTCCACTGGTGGCCATTGAATGTCCTTGTCCTCAGTAGATATTCCTCCCTATTCCTCTTCTATATGACTTCATCCACTGACTATTCCTCCCCACCCTCCTTGGTAAAATCCCACACAGTAGCTCCTCATCCTTAAAAATAATCCCTCCTATTTCTGAGAACCATCTTTGAACTATTCCCTAAACTAGTTGAACTTCCCCCTGACTTCTCCTAAATCCTTATTAAAAGTTCTGCCCAACGCAGGCTCCTTCTCCAAGTAAGAATGTGCTCTCTGAAATTTTCCATGCCTGGCGTTGTCAAATAGAGTCTTATAGTAAAGATACTCTAGTTGATTGTCTTCCATGAGTGTCTCAGTCCTAACTCAGACTGTGAACTAAGACGGATAAGGTAGAGGAAAACTCCAAATGTCTCACAATTAACTTTTGGGTGGTGGTGTTTAGTAATCATTTCCTTGCTTTTCTGTAGCATGCTTATGTTATTTCTTCTTATGATGAAATATACATGCAATACTAATGAAGTCTAAAGAACTGCTGGACAGGCCACGAGGGGGAAGGCAGTGGGAGGCCTCAGTTGTAGCACGAAGCCTCGGGCTGCTTCAGGGTTGCTGTTGCCCCTGTATCCCTGGGATGGGCTCCAAGGAGCTTGGCCTAGCGCTGGCAGGCACCCCCTCTGCCTGCCAGTAATTCAGGCCTCAAACCACACTCTCCCCAGCCACCAACTTCTTCACAGGGACAAGCCTGGCCTCTGTGTTCTGATGGGCCACACCTGGTCTTAGCTGGAGACCTTTACTCTTTGCAATCCCAAATAGGAGCAGCAAATCCCACAGCTGGAACCCATAACCCATTAGGACTGATGAGCCATGGGGCATCATATTCTTGTGAGTAGAAGTTTCATAAAGAAAAACCACATTCATTTTGCAGATGGTCCCAGCTTTGACAGACATGTGGGGGCCATCTGTGGCCACCCTTATTTAGACCAGTCCTTCAATGGGTACTGTGTTGGTAAGGGTGAAAATGATGGCTTGCTGCCCCTGAGCCTGAAGTTGGGATAAATCATTCAGTTTGCTCTTCCTTACATTCAACCTCTGGCCTTGACCACTGCTATAAGCTCACTAGTGAGGACAGTGGCCAAGCTCTTTTCTCCTTTGCAAGTGTCTGCTCTTTCTGCTTTCCTGCCCCAGTATTGTGAGAGGGGAAACTTAAACTCTTTGATATCCACCACTATTTCCTCTGTGTGGCTGGATTCAAGTCACTGGTCCTAGATCTGCAAGCTCGGCCCTGAGCTGGCTGTTTTCCCTAAATGACCAGTCAGACTGGATGTGTCAGTCCTTAGCCCAGCTAGCCCCCTGGGGCTGATCTCATACAGATCCCCATGCTCTTTGGAATCTTTGCCACTTTCATCACTGGTGGCTCCTTTTACTACTGTGCCTCCACAATAACTGACCCCCTGCCTTCTAGAGCCTTCTCTGCTCCCAGTACCCGCTACTTTGCTAAAAGGTGCTGATCTACTCCAGGAAAGTCTGCGAGGAGGAGAGCTCTGCCTTTCTGAGGAGGCAGAGCCCAACTCAACAGAATCCCACCTGGGATGGTAGAATTCATCATTTAGGTACCAATAGGATGTCTCCTCCTTTTTTCTCTTCTCTTCTCCCCCATCCTCAGCTCTTCCCCTTTATCTTTCATTCACCACACCTTCCTCCCACCACTTCCTAATAGCTATTTGCTTCAAGTCATCCTCAAATCTTCCAGCCTTTTGCAAGTTAATTGCATTATTTCCTGCATGAGTGATTGGAACAGCTTCTATTTCCCTATCTTCCTCTCTTAGATAAAGCATTTGCTGATTTTAGGCCAAAATGAGAGCTTTATACAATATGACCTCAGCTAACCTTTCTTGCTTTGCCTATTAGCATCCACCACACTCATCCCCCACAAAAGCCACATCTAATTGTTCCCAGACTCCCCATGAAACCTAACATAGGGTATCTTTGCTTATGCAGGTGCCTCAGCCTAGAATGTCTCTCCCTTTTGTAACTCGTGAACTCTTACTAGTCCTGCAAATCTTCCTACCATGTCCTCACCCCCGTCCCAGGCAGAATAACCCCCATTACACCTTGAAGTCTGAATCTTGGAAATTTGAGGGGGAGGCTAATCTGGGCATTGGTGCTCTGGGAGAGAGGTGTGGGCTCCCTGCCTATAGGGCAGCAGTATGGAAGGAGAAAGAGAGGAAATGTAGCACTGTTATGGGATGAAATGTGGTTCCCCCAAACTCACATGTTCATATGTTGGAGTTGTAACCCCGCTAACCTCAGAATGTAATTGTATTGGAGGTAGGGTCTTTAAAGAGGTGATTAAGTTAAAATAAGGTAATTCGGATGGACTTTCATCCAAACCAGTACTGTTGTTCCTATAAAAAGAGGAAATTTGTATCTATACTATCTCTCCTTTGGAATAGGAATGCTCAGAGTAAAGATCATATGAGGATGTGGGGAGAAAATGGCCATCTGCTAGCCAAGGAGAGAGGCCTCAGACGAAACTAAACCTGCTGACGACACCTGATGTTGGACTCCTGGCCTCCAGAACTGTGAGAAATAAAATTCTGTTGTTTGAGGCACCCATTCTCTGGCATTTTTTTATGCAGTCTGAGAAAACTAGTGCAGATGCACAGTGAGTTTTAGGAGGCAGTATGGGGACAAAATGGAGCAATTCCAAGGGGGTGTGCAAAATGTTCATGGCAAGAAGTGAATTGATAAGATAACTTCCTGGCTGATATACTGATGATTCTCAAGTTCAGGCCTAAACCTGGAGCTCCAAACCCTATTTCCACCTGGCTACTGGACATTGGCACTTAGATATAGAACAGACATTTTTTTTTTTTTTGAGACAGAGTCTTACTTTGTTGCCCAGGCTAGAGTGAGTGCCATGGCATCAGCCTAGCTCACAGCAACCTCAAACTCCTGGGCTCAAGCAATCCTCCTGCCTCAGCCTCTCAAGTAGCTGGGACTGCCACCATGCCTGGCTAATTTTTTCTATTTTTAGTAGAGACAAGGTCTAGCTCTAACTCAGGCTGGTCTCGAACTCCTGACCTCAAGCAATCATCCCACCTCAGCCTCCCAGAGTGCTGAGATTACAGGCATAGGCCACTGCACCCAGCCTAATTCTTATTCTTATGTTCAATTAATCAGCACACCAAGATTTATTAATTTTATCACCTAAATGTATGTTAATTACATCCCCTTCTATTTTATCCTACTGCTACTTCCTTATGCAGGGCTTTATCATTTCCTACTTTCTATTCATTTATTTAATAAATATTTGGGGGTACCTATTGTGTTCCAGGTATCAGGCTATGCTCTTGGAATGCAATGACAGACACAATGGACACATTCTTTGCTGTCATAGAGAATGTATCTAGTAGCGGAGATAATCACATGGATACATAATTATAATGCATTATAATTTTTCTAATTAAGCATTGAAAGAGGTAGTAATAAATGGCATGATGACATGAAGGTAGAGCATTTGAGTTTGGTGAATCAGGGAAGACTTCCTAAAGGAGGTGACATCTTAGCTGAGACATGAAGGATAAGTAGGAATTACTCCTATAAAATAGTGTGGAGAAGAGGCAGGAAATGCTCTGGACAGAAGCAACAGGCTATGCCAAGACCCATATATCAGAGAGAGCTCAGTGAACTTGAGGAACTGATAAAAGTTCCGTATGAACTTTATGTGACCGAGTGATGGGCTGGGAGAGCTTTGTAGGTCAGGCTCCCCAGAAAATAGACTCTGAGACCAATTTACATGTAAGATGGTTCTTGGGCTGTGCTCTCTGGAGCCACACTGCTGGGGAGTGAAGGATGCATGACTGGGCAAAGAGAGAAGTTAAACTGCATTGCCGTTGCAAAGCAGCACAGGCCTCAACTGATTTCACGAGGAGCTCTGGAGCTAGGAGGGCCCATCAGATATGTCCCAAATTGAGGCAAGGGGACTAGGCCCTGGCATTCCTGCATTAAGCAGTCATTAGATGCAGGCTGCTCCCGAGGAGGGAGACTATATAATCTTGGGTGAAGCCGTTTCCTTTGTCCGAGGGCAATGCCTGGAGAGGGCCTCTGCTGTGTTAGTGTTAATGGCAACACTTGCACAGCTGGGGCAAGGAGAGTCCTTACCCTAAAGGGTAAAACTTGGGCAACACACCATAGTGTCCACTTCAGTAGGATAGCAGAGGCCAGACTTTGCCAAGTGTGTAGGACCCACCTAACATTTTAGGTGATATGGTAAGAACAATGAGAAAACAACCAGAGAGTTTCAAGTAAGTGAGAAGCAACATAAGTAGATGTGTGTTTCAGAGAGATTCCCCCGGAGGCCAGGTGAAGAATGGATTCGAGGGCAACAAGGCTACATTCAAGGTGGGAGGTAGATTAGGCAGCTGTTGCAGTGACTTGGGGAGAGATGATGAGGGCAAGAACGAGAGTAGTGTCAGTGGACAGAGAGCTACTTGGACGCCTTTGAGAAGTATTTAGAATGCAGAATTGACAAAACTTGGTTGCTGATTGAATGAGAGTAGAAAAAGGGAGGAGTCAGGTTGGTGGCCAGATTCTGTGTTTACAACAGCCTCCCTTCTGAGCCCTTTGAGTGGAGCACCTGCACTGTAGTCAGGGTAAAGGAGCCAATATGCAAACCTCATTATGTAATTTCCCTGCTTGGGAGCCTGCTAATTCTTTCCCAAGAAAGTCTATATTCAGGGAAGTCTCAGGGAAGTCTTTGCAAATAAGTTACATCTAAACCAAGATCTGTAACATGAGTAACAGGTAGGCAAAGGAGCAGGGAGTGTGTGTGTGTGTGAGTTACATGCCCCATGCAGGGAAGGGACTGATTAGTGAGAGCCAATGATGGATTAGTGACTTCTGGAGGTATGGAAGGTGTGGCTGCAGCTGGAAAAGGCTGCTGGTGAGGAGATGATGTCATGTTACTTGATGGTCACCTGCACAGGGCTCCTTCCCTGCACGGGAAGGAAAGTAGGTGCCAGGGCCAGGGCTGGCTGGCTTGGGTGGGACAGCTGTCTCATGTGGGCTTTGCCTCTCCCCAGAATAGGACTTACCTTTGGTCTCTCTGCACAGGTTCCCGAGTGAGGCCTCTGGGGTTCTAAAAACATTTAGCCCACTGGGAACAGAGCCCCAGGACTTACAGCTGAGGGGTTACCTGCTGGGTCTGCACAGCAACTCTTTTGGTGGTCTTAATCCAGTGTCAAAAGCCCAAATATTGGGCCAAATTTTGTGCAAACTATTTGTTTAGAGACTTTAACCACTAGAGGGCGGAAGCTTCTCAGGCAGTCACCTGGCTATGCTCAAGGTACTAGTCCTTATCCTTTTTAGATCTGAATGGGAATGTATTCCATTCAGAAAAGTATCATTCAACCTTCTCCCCTCTCTCCCTCTTCACCCAGTAAGTCTGATTGATATTCTTGACAAAATGGA